ATCTTATTGGAACCCGTGCCCCAATGATAGGCGCCAAGACCGTTTCAATCACCACGAATTTCGCCGCACGATTGCCGCGTCCATCCAGTTCTGGGTGAATGTACCCATAACCAAAGCATGAGAAAGAATTGGTACATACAGGGCACTTTAACTTCTAAAAGAATATTTTTCAGTGTAAGCTTACATTAACAAAAGGATTATTTTTTTGAGCAGACAAAAATAAAAAAGATAGGCGTGCTTACGATGTTTGATACCGTAATTGTTGTTTGTAACCATAATTTTTTGCCAAAACTGTTTAAGTTTTGTTTTGTGGTCCCGGTTGTCTAACTTATAATTTCTTCTGAATTCTCAACACAGCATTTCATGCTCTACATTGAAGGCCATTTTAAGTAGCTGTTCAAGAGCTGTTGAATAGAAAGGCTCGATGACAACGACAAATTTCAAAACGATTTCCACCAATTTCTATCGCGATTAGTATTCATCACGCCTCTTGACGAGAAGAGTTATTCGGTACTAATACTGAACGATGTGTTACTGGTATTGCTTCGTGGTAATCGATGATGAATAGGATCTGAGGTGATTGACGCTGACTCTGACTGCACTCCGAGATATCTTATTGTAAAATCGTGAATACTTCTAAACTCTTTATGAGCACTCACCCTGATGCTACGCCCGTTTCGACTTGTTTTTTCATCCATTCCTTTCCTAACTGTTGCACGTCCAAGCTGAAAATTTATGCTGTGTCTTCCCTCAATAGTGCTAAGATGGTTTTTACAAGTAAGGTGACTTAGCGAGCACCAACATCACAAAATGTCAAAAAATAAGAATTGTTGAACCTGTAGCACATTCCCAAGTTTGTTAAAGTTGGATGCGTATAGGAACAACAGCTGAATTGCCGCCCTCCAATCGAGCAAAGCTTCATCAGCTCTTCACATTCAAATCTGAAGAAATCTGATAAACTAAGGATCAACATTCAAACTACTGAATAATTACTATCGTTTCGCAACGTCGAGTTACGATAAAATGACTGCAAAAACCAGCAAGGAAGGGTGAAAATCGGCAGATTTTAAGAGATTTCTAATAGGTCTTCAAAGGGAAGTAAGAGAGGGGGTCATGCGAGAATATGTTTCCATAGCCGTTTAGGCTTCTCCCACATATATGTACTATTCGTTGGCGCCGTGACGCTCTATTATGAACGATGCAGCCTCGACAGAGCCGTCTCCACANGGCAACTTTTGGGAGTGCATGTCTCGGAGCGAGTTTCTCCAGATCCATATAAAACGCTTCCAACTCCTCTTCTTCGTAGCTCGATGTTGATGCGCAAGCAAGTTGAGCCACATCCTCTTGTTCGCAAAGTCCGATTCAGATGGTCAAGTCCCACGCACGAATCGATGGTCATGGCCAAGCGCATGTTGAAGAGGACACCTACGCTGCCGACGCCTCTGCTGTCGCATGTTCCAAGGAACAGTTCTTCTCCGGTCTCAAATACAGCGTGCAGCGGGCGATGCCTTCTCGTATCGGTCGGTCCAATTACGTCGTACTTGATCTTCTTAGCTTGCATCATCAGATCTTCTATACACGCTTCCGATGTAAACATGTGTGCGTTGAAAGTGCAGATCGATCCGTTACTCTTTCTCTTTTTCTCTTTTTCTTTCTTTTCTCTTTTCTCTTTTCTCTTTTTGGGCAGCCTGGCTTGGCCTTGAGATTTCAGCCTCTTCCGAGTGGTCCTACTCAAAGCTGCGTATTGGGGGTTCCCTCAGGCTCAGGGAAATGAGGCCTTTTTGTTTACTACGTTCCGCAAGTGGACACTCAACGTGTACCTTGCCAGGCTCTGACGTGGGGGAATGGGTTGGTTTCGCGGCTACCCAGGGTATCTCGAAGCCGAAGACGAGGGCTTTGTTTTCGGAGACGTCTCCGAATCGCCTCCCAGATACTTCCCAGTGTCACGAATGCAAGCTTTTGGCTGAATCGATGGGCAGAATACCGATTGCAGCCTCAGACTCTCCACACACGCATGCGTGAATACCCAGCGAGAAACGGAAGGTATATTGGCCAGCATAGCAGAAACAAGGAGTCTAACCCTGAATAAACCTGCAACTCTTGGCAAGTAAGGGTGGCTTTTGGCCGATGATCTGCTCCACTATCGCAACCGGGAGACGCCCTACGTAGCCTCCTCGCTAACCGGCTGTTATCCTTCAGTGAGAGAGAACCCTCAGTGAAGGAGATCCGTAGGCGATGCTATATAATTTTGAAGGCACAGTTTGTGAAAAGTTAAAGGCACAGTTCACGATAATTCTGGGTAATCAAGATTAGGATGAAAAATGGAAGGCAAGGTTGAAAATAGCGCGATGAAGGTGGAGAAGCTGCGTGAATCGGTGTTTACAAAGTAAAAGAAAGCTTCAAAAAACCGTTATAAAGGGGGTTGTGCGAGAATGAGACCAGAAAAATGAAGAAGAGTGGGACATTTGGACAAGCTATACAGTGTGTCTCACTGCAACTGCGTACGTGTGGGTCATGGTGCGAATAACAGACTATGGTAAGCAAAAATTCATTCACTTATAAGCATAAGTAACAAAAAACCCTAGTAACAGCAGAAATTGCTCACCTTTTTCAGCCTCTAGGAGTAGGAACTTAAATAATGGATCGCAGCAGCAAAAAGAATGTTAGAGAAAAAAGAATCTCAGAAAATCATCGCCTCATCACTCGGCGATCAGCTGATTGTGTGTGGGTCCTAGAACGAATAGTTGCTAGCTGTATTGTCTCGACGTCGTCCGACGTGACATCGATCGAGAGGCGGGAAGGTCATTGACGTTGCCGCCCATTGAATTATCGTGAACTGTGACTTTAAGGAAACTCGATAGACTTCGATGTGTCGTCTTCTCAGACGTGGATTCGTTCCAGTGAGGAAGCTGTAAAACCACTTAATCGCGAGTCGCGACACTGTCATCGCTATCCCAAATTATAACCGAGAACTCTTACATGCACACCACTTCCCGCTGCATTGCAGGTGATTGATATATTTAGTGTAATAAAGACGAACCCAGCTTCAATGAAGAATTCCAGAGCATCGAAGTTGGGGTGAGCCTTCTGATAAGCTTCCAATGCCTTCTGACCTGAAAATTGAGCGTCTTTTCCGGTAGCCTGGTATAGGCAACTCTGAGGAGTATTTCAATTGAAGCCTACATCGTAAGTGACATTTCGACAAATTTATAATGCTTAGAGGAGCGAAAGATTTTCTGAATTTTTTGGAGAAACATTAGGTCTGATTAACTCTGTCCTATCTTTGCACCATTTTGCCGTTCTACCTCCTAAGCTGAAATAAGAAATAAAGGACGAGTTGACCCAAAAGTTCTGAGAAAGCTGTTTATGATGTTCCCTCCTGAATCGTCTGTCTTCTTTTCTCAGAAATACGCGAAGCAATAGCAGTTGTGTGGTGACCACTGTTCAAAGTGAAGTTCATATCTTCTTCGTCTTCTACAGCGCAAGATATTCGCGCTACCGCGATTAACAGTCAGAATCCTAGAGATGCGCACTTTGCAATTACTTAAAAAGGATGTAGCATTTAAAACCAAAAAACATGAAAGAGCGCATGTGCGCATGTTCCATTTTGCCATTTCGCTCGATCCGAAATCAAAAATTATGAAAACTTCGCTCAAAAACTATAACAGAGCATTAACTTTGTAAGCCATGCAGAAATAGATCGGAAGATCTGAGAACTAGGATGCATAGTAGCAACTAAGAACATTTTATAAAGGGATCGGAAAGCAGCGATCAGAAGTTTTGTGACATCTCCAGTGTAAAAAATGGCTTTGGCTCAAAAAAGTTCGTGCAAAAATCAAATAGATTACCAATTCAAGTGATGGGTAATGGAAAGAAAGGAGCACTGGGGTATTATGTGATTGGAAATTCCATTGGCATCACCCAGCTTTTTTTCGAATCTTTACTACCGTAGAGCTATATGTCAATTGAATTACGGTAATCTACACAGGGGATGTTGGAAGAAGCCAATGACTGATGACCTGTTGAATAATAAAGAGAACAGGATCGAAACATTCAAGATAGGCCAAACCTCGTGTGCTAGTAGCCCTAACAATGCTTCTCGGTCCCAATATTAGCAGCTACGAAACTCACCACCAAATTTTTTGAATCCTGTTGGGAAATGATTGCTCACAGGGTGAGACATGATTACAGTTTGAAAGTTTGGTTGCAGTTGTTTTCAGAAAGTGTCGTAACAAAACAATGATTATGATGATCTTGACTAAAAGAAGAACTTTCTTCCACGTTTTTCTCTGGTTTTCCGCTTTGACGCTTCTCCACTGGTTCGAAGTGCACCGCAGATAAAGGCGGAAAATGCATTATCGCACTTACCCATTCATTAAGGCCATAAACTTTGTATTCTGATAGATGGAGTTGACCCCAGTGCCACCACCGACAGTCATGTTGAAAATCTTATAAATAGCCTTGCATCGTACATTGAAATGCAAACGGCCGCCTACCTATGTGAAAGACGGCTCGGAAGCCGTGCAATTGGTCGAGTCACACGTTGTCGCATTGTGGCCACCCTTTCGGGCGCGATCCGCATCGGCGGTACTGGAGCCCTCAGCCCTAGCTAACGGGACACCACGCCCTACCCGTGCCCCGCACAGGTAGGCGGCCCAGCCGCCCGAGCACAAAGGTTTTCAGATGGGAATGGTCTTTGCCTTGCCACAGCGCCCCCAGCCAGTCTTCGCGACGGGAGTCCCTGCCCCCAGTACAGCGACCGACACTATGAACGCGACGACACAGCCTAATTCCTCTTCGCAACTAGGGTGCAATACCTTACTTACACCTATTGCAACGTACAGAAGTAAGGGACACTAGTCTATTAGACTGCTACGCACTACACTACATAACCACCAAAAAATATTATGTTGAGTCATAAGTCCTCGGACAATGTGATAGTGATGAATTCTAGAGATTATATCTCGGAAAAGAAGTGACGAAAATGGACGAGCGAAGCTTCGTTAGATAGGGTATAGAAAGCTCTTCAGAATACATACTATTGAACATACCTAACTGTTTCCTTTCCTGCAACCATGCACCATGATTTCAAGCCGTCGCAACTCCACCTCCGCAACATCATCCTATTCCTTCTTCTATCTGACCAAGATCCCACGGCAATCGATAGACGTATAAAGGAAAATCACAAGAAGGACGCCCCTGCTAAAAGCACAATTCAGCGGGCACTCGGAGTTCCCGTCGGGCGACTATTCCATCGAACTGAAGACCGTCCGGGACGCTCTATTGAGTTGGATTTGGACGAGCTACGTAGCGAGGTGGAAGCCGATGATTCGTATCAAACTACTCGTGAGCTGACAGTCTCTTCTAAGGTGAGTCAGTCCCCAGTCGTTCAAAGATTGAAGTCAGTCGGCAAGTGCGAAAGCTCGGTCGATGGGTGCCGCATGCTTTGAAGCAGTATGTCATGGACCGCACCGCCGATGTCACTTTTCTCCTCACGCTCAACGGCACCCACACGTGGCTCGAGCACCTAGTCACCAATGATGAGAAGTGCTAACCGGCGTGCTCCAGATGTAGATGACTTCTCCAAACCCAACACGCCAAGAAGGTCATTCTCTGCATCTGGTAGAGCGTTCACGGTGTCGAATACAGGGAGCTGCTAAACGAAAGATGTATAGTGACCGCAGACATCTACCTTGAGCAATTGAGGAATTTGAAGGCGCGTCCACGGCAGCACGAAGCTCAGTTCCAGCACGACAATGCTCGGCTGAACATTCAAGAACGATCAAAATTGAACTAATTAGTATAGGCTGAACAATTTTATCACATCCACCATATTGCCCAAACTTGGCTCCCTCGGATTACCACCTTTTCTCCCATCTCCAACGTCGTCTCGATGGTCAAGACCTTAAACTCGCGACGACATCAAAATGGCACTCGAGCGGATCTTCAAATGACAGCCCCCAGCGCTCTGGAGCAAGGGCATCTATGATCTGCCCATGGGTTGGAAGAAGATCATTGATGCCGATTGAGGATATTTCAAATGATTCGCAATTGTTGTTCAAAAAATGTAATATAAATATACTCATTGTCAGTTTGCCCGAGGACTTATGGCTCAACCTAATTCTAAAGGGAACTAAACAACACAGACGAAACTTATGGGCCCAGAGCCAAAAAGTACCGCGATGCGTAAGATATAATGAGTAAAAGAAACACAGTTAACCCATTGCGTACCGCAGTGCTTTGCGCTAGCTGCCGCATGCGCTCGGCGTTTTCTGCATAATTGACGCGGCGACGTGGTTCACGGTGTGCAGCACACAGTCACACAGAGCGGTTGTTTGAGCGAATCGCAAAGTATGGGCTGTTCGAACATTCAAATTCCAGGGTGATTTTGGACGAAAACGCGGCCGTGCAGAGGCAGAGGGGCGTGCTGCACCACGTGTAATATTTTTCACAAGAGATAAAAGACATATATACAAAGTACGAATCTCACGACACTCACCTATCCCTCGATCTGAAGGCGCCTTCCAAGGCAAGCTCCCTCAGCTGTTGAATCCAGGCCCCCATTGGCCCTCGGTGGTTTTCCTGCCTTTCTTCCTC